CCTCTCTTTTCAGGACCAAATGCAACACTTTCTTTGCTGATTTCTTAGAATATATATTTACCAATAGCTTACCTTAACTCCTTTCTCCCATCGTTTGCTAATATTCAAAAGAAAACGCATCAGCAACTTTCCCAAGCATGTTCAGTTTTTACAAGTGGAAACAACATCCTCAAACTCTATCAAATATGGGCTGGGGTTGCAGCTTAGTTGGCAGAGTTCTTGCTACCATTGACTAAACCCTGGATTTAATCCCCAGCACCACTAACTGGGTGTGGCAGTACCGCCTGAAAACCCAGCAATTGGGAAGTAGAGGTGGGAGGATCAGAAGGTCAGGGTCATCCTTGGCTATATTACATAGTTCTAGGCCGGCCAAACTTTCATGAGACTGTCATAGTTTAACAAACAATAACAAAAGAAACATTAAATATTACAAAAATGGTAAATGAAAGAAGTCTTTAAAATTCCAAAGTTAGCCGGGCATGGTGGCTCACGCCTTTAATCCCAGCACTTGGGAGGCAGAGGCAGGTTGATCTTTGTAAGTTCGAAGCTAGCCAGGTCTACATAGAGTTCCACGACAGCTGGGGCTACAAGGAGACCCTGTCTCAAAAAGACCGAAAAAAAAAAAAATCCAAAGTTAAACATGGCCATTTTTCAGTGTTTATTTTTGATTACTTTGTGTGTGTGTGTGTGTGTGTGTGTGTGTGTGTGTGTGTGTATAGTCTGTCTGTCTGACTCACATGCAGGTCAGAGAACAACTTGTAGGAGTCAGTTCTCTCCTTCCACCATGTGGGTTTCAGGGATCAAACTCAAGTCATCAGGCTTGGCAGCAGGCACCTTTACCCACTGAGCCATCTCACTGGCCTTGTGTTTAAATCTTAACACATCCAGGATCTATTCTGAGTTTACAACATGGCAAGATACTGGTTTGGGAGTAAAGTAAGGCTGAGAGGTTAACTGACTGGCTTACAGTTACAAAGCAAGAAAGCCGCAAAGCCTAGCAGTCTGTTCACCAGATTCTTATCTTCCTAACCAACCTGTCTTTCTGGATTCTCTGCTACTGATTCTTGGTTTAGAAACACCACAGGCTTTATGTGCCAAGATCAAGACTCACTGCAGTAGGACTGAGGCTAGATGGGTACTGGCCCCACTAGATGCACTTTGCAAAGGTGAGACACTGATCTCACTCAAAGGTATTCCGAAGTCCCCACTGACCCTGATAGGAGCACAATGGTGTCTTTAGCACAGAAAATTCAAAGACTTCAATCGTCAGACATCTGCACCCCCTGAATGTTGCAGTTTAGAGGGGACTATGAGAACAAAGCCCTGGCATTTCTATAGGGCTGAGACAATAAAATCAAGAGTATGCACCTCTAGCTTTCTCATACTTGGCAGCCAGGAATCACCTGGCTAAGTATCTCTGGAAATCTTCCCAAAAGGAAAGAAATGATTTTTTTTTTTAAATGGTAGAACAAGAGGTAGCACGGTGTCAATCTCCTGGTCCCCCTAGCAGGTCAATACTGAGGTAACACCCCTCCATTTAGACCTCAGATACTGTTAACAGCTCTCAGGATGTACATTTAAATACTTCTGTATCTGAAAATCAGAATGTATGATCCCCTTTCTCACATATGACCCCCTGAGCCTTGGACAGACCAGTCTCTTAACCAGGAATAAGCATGGCTCATATACTGCTACCAATTTTTCTAATATTTCTATCACTATAATCCTAAATCATAAGATCAAGGACAAGATAGTCAGAACTGTGGTTAGATTATGAGAGGTTGTTTACATTCAGTATTCCTAAGACAAAGTCCAGACAGGACAAATGCAAAGTATACAAAGGAAACAGACCCTAGGAAAAACAGTAGCTTGCTTTGTACTCTCTAGTATACCAGGCTAATGGTGAAAGCATAGAAGAAAAGGCCTAAAACTTGGCCACCATCTGAAACAGACCAGGACTAAAATAGTCCTTCTGGGTTCTCCGCGCTGCCCCAGGGCTTTTTGTAACTGGCTTTTATGGCTTTAATGAAACATGGGTGGGTGGGACATATTTACTCCTGCTTTATAATGTTGTTAGCAGCAGCTTTTTCTCTCTTGCACTTGGTGCTTGGCCTGCACAATTAGCACCTTATTACAGCCTGGCCTTCCTTCTAATTACCACCTGGCTCAATTGAGCATTTCATTTTATTATCTGGTTCATGCAGTAGCTCAAGGGCCTGGACTCCCTAACTATAATAAACCCTACACTTCTTTTAAGCAAGTGCTTTGGGATTCTTATGTCCTGAGGCTCATGAGAACTCTAGGCACTCACAACTACTTCCTGAATGTTTGGCTCTCTAAGCATGCATTCCACCCTTCCCTTCATTCCAGGTCTATCAGGTCTTCCAGGTCATTCCAGACCTATTCCTCGTGTTGAGAGCTCTCAGCTACTTGGAGGTCAACTCTACTCTGCACATAACTTTTCCCTTTAACTAATGAATTAGGCTAAAACAGGAACAGGATTTATCCACATCACACTCCATGTTCCTTTCAAAGAGGATTCAAACGATGTGAATTCAAGCTTGAACATCCTTGATTTTGAAATTAAACCTAGGGCTGGGGATGTGTTTGCCTATGATTCATAAACCCTAGGTTCAATCCCTAGCACCAACACTAAAAATTAATCAATTGAAACTAAACCTAACTGTATTTTACAGGGTAGTTATCAATTCCATAATAAACATGGGCCTCCTGCACTGGGTTCCTTGATAGAGGACATGGAGTTTGTGAGGATGCTATAGAAGGTTAGGAGTGGAGGTGGGGGAGCCACAATGCCTCTACTTAAATCATGCCTCTTCCACCTACTAATTGCTCAAAGATAGTTAAGCTCTCTGTGCCTTTGTTTCCCAATCTGTAAAATAGCCCTCAGAAGGCTGTTTAGAGGACTGAATCTTTGTTGTTGTTTTGTGGGTATTCTGAGACAGGGTCTCCCTGTAGCCATAGCTAGCCTTGAACTTGTTATGTAGACCAGGCAGGACTGAGGACTGAATCTTTGTAAAGTGCCTAGAATTATGCTCGATACACAATAATTTCCAGTGTCAAGGAAAATCAACCAAGTACAGATTGTAGAATAAACACAGCTATAAAACAGCATGAAACCAAAAGAATCTGACAGAAATGGAAAAGTGAGCTGGCGTAAAACAATATAATGTACCATCCTTGGCTTTTTAACTTTTCTGCTCCTAATAGTTTCCTTGAATTGCTCCAGTAGACAAATAAATTATGAACTTATGAGTTTTAAAGACATCTAAAGCAGTCTCAATGGACATGGAGATGGCCTGGCAGCATTTCAGCAGAATGACTGAAGGCACCAAGTTCTAGTAGAGATTAACAACTCTCTGCTGTTTCTATTTCTTCAGATCTTCTAAGCCTAATATCAAACATCATTCATAAAATTATTCAGCAAATATTGCTGACCCTTCTCCACAAGGAACCTGCTGTCAGTTGTCAGGGGCTGGGGTATGCATGTGTGGTGCTTGGATGGAACCCAGGGTCTTGTTCATGCTAGCACTGTTACTGTTAGATACTTGTGAAGACATGCTGAAAGATTTTTCCAGAAAAATGACTCTATGGTGGTCAAACACTTTTCTTCCAAGTGTCTTTTCTGACCTTTCAACTTGCTGTCATCTTTTAAATCCTTAGCCCCCTTAGTCACACTAGTTATTAAAAATAGGTATTAAAATCGTACTTTCAGGTCTCTCTTCAGAACACTCTCGAGCATAAGACATCCTACCTAATAGAGTCTCTTGTTAGTTCATCAGAGTTCCTCACCATACACAAAGGTGGGGTCCAGGTGCCATATCAGATTGGGCACTTGTGCCTACATTTAGAAGGAAGGAAATCCTTCTGGCTTTACCTCTCCCAGATGTGCTGGAGGGCAAAGAGCAACCCTATTAAGAAGTCTTCACTTCGGAGGCACCTGTAGAGAACTATGTAAAGACACAAGAAACTCACGACCAGTTTACTAAGAAAAGGTCATCCATTTGAGGGAAGTTTAGTGCCTAAGAATGTGATCAGGCACTTCCTGTTGCTTTTTCAGACTCATTTTCCAATCCCACTATACCCATTAATCCACCATCAAAGCTCTAACCACCAGCCGTCCCATTTGCCCAAGAAGCTTCTTTGGGCAAAGTGTCAGCTCCTAATAGCTGTAAATCCATAATCTGAGAAACACCTTTTAAAAATTTTCTTGATGATTAAGTTGTGAAGAGTTACTTTCATTTTCAAAAACAGGGAAAATCCTCAAGAATGGGATATCGGTTAAATAAAGTTTCAATCAGCTTTGGCAACTCTCCCCCCATTTTTGGCATGGCTACTTTAAAACTTGGTCCATAGCCTGACTCTCTTCCTTGAGGGGTTCCCATGGTGACCCCCAGCTTCACCTTGCAGGCATCCTCTCTGGATATCCAAGTCCCATATTCACCCAGGGTCGGTTTTCTTTCAGGAAGCTGTCCAGAGCAACCAGCGACTCTCTTCATGGGGGCATCCGGTGGAGTGGAGGGTGGGGGCGCTCTAACACTGCGCCCTTGGCTGGCACGCGGCAAGACCCTCTTCCCTGCTCTTTTGGTACAATGCTCTGGCAACCATCCCGGGAAAGGGTAACTTGTAAAGTTCCAGGTCACCATTTACTGGGGACAGTTATGGGGAGGAAGGAAGGAGAGGTGAGGAAGCTGCCCAGGTCCTGGCCCTGATCTTTCCCGTTGAGAATGACCTAGAGGGCTCCATGGCCTCTTCTTAACCATTCTAGCTAGGAACCAAGAGGCGGCTGGGGAGCCGGTCCTCCCCGGGAGGCACGACTTCCGCCTTCTTCCTGGGGTGTCTCTCGTGCACTCTTGGCGACTTCAACTCCGGCTAACAGTGCTGCGCCGCACGGAGTCCTGGCTCGGGCCCGCACCTCCCTCCCGCCTGCTTCCCGCCTCCCGCGGCTCCTCCTCCCCGCCCCGGCTTCCCTCAGCACTGACCGTCAGGCCGGAGGCAGCTCGCTGAACCGCGCCCCCGGGGGCGCTCCCTCCGCCGGCGCCGCCTGCTGCAGCCCCCGCCCCAGGGCCCGGCCTTGGGCGACCGCGATGACTCGAGTACCGGGCGCCGCGGCTCGCCGGACTCGGCCACACACCCCGTGGCGCGCAGGAGAGGCCCATGGAGCTCCAGGCGGTGGCGGCGGCCGCGGCTGCAGGAGCTGCGGCCGCGCGGGCTGATGACGCTCCTGCGGCGGGCGGCACAGGCTGATGACGCGTACAGTTGCGCGCGTGGGGCTGGGCGGCATGGCGTCTGTGTCGCTGAGCGAGGCGGAGAAGGTGTACATTGTGCATGGAGTGCAGGTAGCGACGGCAGGCTCGGGGACTAGGCGCGGGACGGCCGCGGGGCCGAGATGGAGCACCGAGGCTTCGTGCGTCCGCCTAGCGGGTGTGCAGAGCCGATGCCGAGCGTGCGTGGAGCGGCGCCTGCGTCTTCACAGCTTTCGGGGTGGTTGGGATTCCCAGCCCGGTGGGGGGCAGCGGTCGGCCTCTGGGGCTGCTTTTTAGTGAAGAAATGTCCATGCGGCCTGCGTGCGCTCCGGGTCCTCTAACCAGAAGCCAGGTCGGGGTTAGACGACTATCGGTTCTGCGCAGTGAGAGTTTGTACCGAGGGGAAAACGCTCTGAAGATATTGATAGGTGGATCGGGTCAATTGGGAGAAAGCACCGGGACACAGACAAATTTGACTCCCGTGGGATAGAGTTTATTAGCAAAGGAAAGCGCACGGGACACTCTCCTTCGAGATAAAGAAGCTGTGTCAGTCTTACAGGTTGTGGACTGGGGTTCTTTATATGGGGGCTTTGGGAGGTGCAGAAGGTGGAAACTTTTTTTTTTTTTTTTTTAAGTTAGGCAGGAGAGAGGGAGCCCAGGGTTTATCAGCAGAGAATATCCTCTGTCAAACAGCCCCCTTCCGTCCCCTTCTGTCAGCCAGGATCTGGGTTATGGGGTAAGGGGTCTATACATTGTGAGACTTACCAGGGGGAAATAGCTTGCATCAAGACAGTTCCTACATTAATGGATCCAGAGTGCAGGGGCTTATTTGCCTTCCAAGTTCATCAACTGGGAAGCAGGCTGTGTTATAAGGCTGTTTGCAGTAATCAGGTCTTGGGCCAAAAGGTGTAGAGAGTTTGCTTATCTTGTCTTGCAGATGGTCAGGGTGCTCATTAACTCGGTTCCTGAATTCTCAGGGACCCTGCAAAACTGTGAGGCCCTGCTGCATTGGGGAGGGAGTTGCTGTATGTCTGAACCCTAACAGATATAAATAAAACAAACACCATCATTACCAACCACCGCGGCCAAATAGAGCCCGTGGTAGAGTGCTTGCCTAGCACACACAGGGTGGTGATGCCTCCTTGGGGCTGTAATCCCAGCACTTGGGAGATGGGGCAGGAGCATCTGGAGTTTAAGGCTAGCCTGAGCTACAGAGATTCTGTTTCAAGAAAAAACACGTGTGTGCACACACATACATGCACATATATCTTACAATAGAGGGAGATGAGTGAGTGGTGTTCAGTTTTGTTTTTCTTTTGTAGGTCCTCGGATGTGAACCCACCACCTTTTGCAATGCTAGATAACACTCCTACCACCGAGCTGAGTTTCAGCCCTTCTTAACTCTTTTTGTTGGGGAGTGGGTATTTGTTTGGGTTTGGTTTTTGTTTGTTTTGGGGTTTTTGAGATCAGGTCTCTATTCCAGTTTGGCATGGATCTCACTCTAGCTCTTGCCAGTCACTTGTCTAGGCCTCCTCAGTGCTGAGATTACAGGCATACACCATCATCACCTGGCTGAGAAGAGTTTTACAAAGGTAGCTGGTGCTATAATCGTTGATTTTCCTATTTTACTAGTGGAGAACTTAAATCCCTAGGCAGCCATAACTTATACAACATTTTCTGTGCTTAGTCTTCAACTCCTGCTTTTGACCACCTGAGAAAGAGGTGGAGAATGTTGGACCTGGAAGCCATCTACCTAGTATCCTGTTCTGACTTGTTAATCTCTGCTCTGGTGTTCCCAGAGTTCTTCAGCTGGTGGCAACCCCTCTGTCTGCTTGGACCAAATGCAGTCAGTGGTCCTGTGATGTAGCCACCAGATTAAGGCAATCTTAATATTTAAAATATTCCATAAGGGTTGGAAAGGTGGTTCAGTGGTTAAGAGCACGACTGGCAGAGAACCTGGGCTCTGTTCCAGTACCCACATGGTGGCCAAGAACCATCTGTAACTCCAGTTCCAGGGCCTCCAATTCCCTCTTCTGACTTCCACTGGCATTGCATGCATGCGGTACACTTACCGCAGGCAAAACATTCATACACATAAAATAAAAATAAACTAGTAAGGAAGCCCAAAGGGTTAGTTAGGGAGCTTAAAAGCATACTGGGCTCTGGCCAGCATACAAAAGGAACAGACAGAAGAGGAAAAGAGGAATAGTTACACGTTTCTGAGAAAAGGTGACCAGACTCAGCCCAACCTCTTGGTGGGCTGTGGGGACTGCAGTAGGGGTTGGGGATTCTGGGAAGGAAGCACACATTATCTTAAGGTGAACTCCAGGTCCCTTACCTGCCCTGCTAGATTAACCCTTAAAGGGACGAGACAAAGGCCACCTAGAGGTACATTCCATTCTTTACGCTAGGCCTACAAATAAATGAAAATTGTCAGACTTCAGGCCAGTTCTGACAGTTGACTCAATTTTTATAATTAAAACTGGAGTGTAAGCATCCACAGGGTGGCTAACAACCATCTGCAGTTCCAGTTCTAGAGGATTTTGGTGCTCTCTTCTGACCTCTGCAGGCATTGCACAACGTGGGTATACTTACATACATGCAGGCAATACATTCATACACTTAAAAATAATAAATATTTTTTTCTAAAAATTGCTTCAGTGCAGTGATTGGTGGACCAGTTTTTTCCTGTTCTTTTGAGTGCTTTTTTTGGTTGTTTTCCCTGTGGAGGGGAAATGTGCATTATACATGCTTTGGAAGGAACATTTGTAGCTTTTCATTAGTCTTACTTGTCACTTCACTTTCCTAAGAGGCTGAGAGTTATTAGAGGCTGGAAAGGCATGGTCCCATGACCCTCTGTTTTCTGACATGTATGCAGCCCTGTCTGGAAACAGTTACTTGTCTATAAGGAGGTGTGGCTAGATCTGTCCAAAGGGTGGCGTTTTCAAAAGAGTACTTGGAACCCTGTGATTGCATGGTCTACCTGCCTTCAAAGTCAGCCCCATCATGACCAGAGCCATCTCTTAGAGCTGGCATCTTTGTCCTTGGAAGGAGGCCTGAAAAGTGAAGGGACTTTGAGAAGTCACAGGCTATGTGGAACAGTGGGGAAGAGATCTGTCTTGTAGTTCAAATGATGCCCACTGTCTGGTGGGATTTAAGGAGAGGAGACACAAAGTTGGATGTGCCAGTAAAGAGGGGTCACTTTATAGAGTTCTCACTAGCTCATTTTCCTAGGCACCAAATTCTGTTGCTTTCTGAATACATGTTCCCTTACATAAGAGAAGGATTGCTTCTAGGGAGGAAGTATGGCTGCCCAGGCATTTGCACCTGGGTTAGAATGTTTGATTCCCCTTAGAGGTTGCTGTGAGGGTTAAGAGCTGAAGCAGAGATGTTTGGTTGTTGTTAGTGCTGTGTGGTGGGAACATGCAGCAGTGTTTTGCTTTTCTCTGTTTTATTTCCCAAAATAAAGTGAGACATATGCAGTTAGCCAGGGAATTTGAAGATAGTTTTGGACAGTCACATATTTAAGAGCAATGGTCTTTCTTTTCCCTCACTCTTTTGGGAAATGTCAAACCCCTTTGAGATTCTGATGCAGCTCATTATTTTTAATTATTTTTGATGTGTATTTGTGTTGGGGGGGGTATGTACACAGAAGCTAAAGGCTTTGGATTCCCTGGAACTATAGTTACAAATGGTTGTAAGCTGCCTGATGTGAGTACTGAAAACTGAATCCCGGTCCTGGGCAAGAGCAGTAACCACTTTTAACTGCTGAGCCATCTCTTCAGACCCCTATTCTTTTTTCTGACAACAAAAAGCTTTTAAAAGTAATTACAAAGAATGGGGAAGATTTCTATGAGCTGACTTGGAGCAATTTATTGTGTACACATGTGTGTATTTATTTCTTGTTATATAGCCCCAGCTGTCCTGGAACTCACTATGTAGACCAGGCTGGCCTTGAACTCACAGAGATCCGCCTGCCTCTGCCTCCCAAGTGCTGGGATTAAAGGCGTGCGCCACCACGCCTGGCCCATAGCTAAGTTTTTTAAGAGCCAAGTATAAAAACAGGTAAAATGGTATGCCATCCTTCATATAAGAAAATCTCAAAAGTAGATTGCTAGCTCAAGAAAGCCAAATTGTTTAATAGAAGGGTCCAAATCTCAGTCTTACCTCGGTGTACTTTTTATAGTAATGCTTAATTTATTTTTATTTTTTAATTGTGTATGTATCTGTGGGTCTGCACCTGTGAGTGCAGGTGTCCATGGAGATCAGAACAGGGTGTTGGATCCCTTGGAACTGGAGTTACAGGAAATTCTGAGCTTTCTGACATAGGTTCTGGGAATTGAACTCAAGTCTTCTGCACGTATCTTACACGCTCATAACCACTGATCTTAACCACTGAACAGATCATCTCTCCAGCCCAAGTAGTGCTTAATTGAAAAATAATTACCTTGAAAAAGTAAAAGGGGATTAAATGATATTCATGTGTCTGCTCATTTGCACAGAGAGAATACAAGGTAAACCAGATCTCAGTAAGAGGTCTGTCATTGACCTAGGGTGGATGAGAAAAGGGCAGAGAGAAGGGACCTGGGAAAAAGCATAGTGTAGGCACCGGCAGGGGATGTTGCTTTGAACCTACTTTTTCTGATAGCTTTGACTTAGAATCGTAATGACATTCCATATACCCCCACAAGTAAATAATTAAAAGTAACCAGCATTAGAATGAACCCAAATTGAAATATGAACAGTTACAAATGAGTGTGTTATTAATGAATACTATAACCACAGGGAAGGGCAAGGGACAGAACATTCTAACTGTACGCTACTAGAAAGTGTACCTCTCAGGAGAATGGGTTAGCAACCCTGAAACTGCGTACAT